CCCTAACGGGCACGTGTCAGTGCGGGGCAGGCGAGCGGGAGGTCCCTTAGCGGCTTCTCCCCCCCAGCGGAGGATCCCGAGGCGCCACGAGGGAACGGGGCAGGTCGCAGATCCCGGGGTGTCCGGGCCAGCGGGCAGCGCCTGCCCACGCAGCGACTGGTGGCTCCTTTAAGTGCGTTTAGGGACAGGCAGCACCCCCCAGGGAGCATCTCCCGCTGATGCCTGCGGTCCAAACGCTCTTAGCCAGACCCGTAAACCCGAGCGCTGCTTCCCTTGCAGGACGCTGGTGATCGGCGGTGCAGGATCTCTCCTCCTGGACTGGTACGGCTGGGAGAGTGTTTTCTACTTCTCTGGTTTGCTCACTCTGCTCTGGGTTTACTGCACCTGCAAGTACCTCCTGAACGAGAAAGGTACGTCCAGCCGCCGGCATCCCGCGGGCTGCCAGCACTCCTGAGGCTGCGGGACCTGAGTGATACCTCTCTGATATTTTCTGCAAATCCCCTGTGTTTCCAGGATCACGCCTGGTTTTACACAAAGACTTTTGTTCAGTTATCTTGTATAATACACACTGTGTCTGCCCCAAGATGCTAAACCCAGAAACAAGGCTTTGAGCTCTTGCGTTGCCGATTTCCCATTTCAGTCCGACGCTGGATTATATTGCTGTCGAGAGCCTGATCTGACTCCTCAGTACTCTTAAGCACCAGTGAAAACACCAAACAAAGCATGATCTTCAAAGTGGATTAAGCTAAAGCAGGGCAAGATACTTACGCCAAACTAAGAGCATTTACACATAGAGCTTTTAAAAACCAGTTAATCCAGAATATCTCTTCCTAAATAACTGTCTGGGAGTAATTCCACACACGGGCAAACCATTACACCTGGCTACAGCATTTTCAGTGCGAGCGTGGTATGTAGGAGCCCAGGTCATCAGGAGCCTGGTGTGTGCTTGGTGCTGCACAAAATCCAAACCTGGCCCTTGCCCAAAGAGATTTTTGTTTAATTATAACACGAGATACAACAAATGGGTGAAGGTAGCGGGGTGGGGTAGTGGAAAAAAATTTGGTCAAAGTAGCAAGGTGTTTTTGTGAGCATCCAATGCTGATATTGCCAAAAAAAGAGAAGGAGACTAAAGGTAGTTGTATAGTGGGCTCCCTGGGCTCTCTCCAGCTGCACAGAAAATTACTGATCAGAGCTTTCCTTTGTATGTTTTCTTCCCTGCAGAACTCATTATCCCCATAGACTATTTAATGAGGGGCCTCTCGATATCCAGGCAGACCAAAGTTCCCTGGAAGCAGCTGTTTAAGAAGGCACCGATATGGTAGGCAGCTGCGGCGGCCGCGAGCACCGCGCAGCAGGCAGGCCTGCGAGAGCACCCTCCTGCCAAGGGCTTTTTCTCCTCTCTGTGCTTATTTGTCCTGTCTACACGTACTGTGTCCACTTTTTTATATATTTGAGAAGTTTTACCAGGTTTTCTAATCCATTCTGTATAAACTAAAACGGTAAGCTTGGCTAGAATATTCTATTCTATTCTGTTCTGTTCCGTTCCATTCCATCCCATCCCATCCCATTCGATGCCCCATTCCATTCCATTCCATTCCATTCCATTCCATTCCATTCCATTCCATTCCATTCCATTCCATTCCATTCCATTCCATTCCATTCCATTCCATTCCATTCCATTCCATTCCATTCCATTCCATTCCATTCCATTCCATTCCATTCCATTCCATTCCATTCCATTCCATTCCATTCCATTCCATTCCATTCCATTCCATTCCATCCCATTCCATTCCATCCCATTCCATTCCACTCCATTCCATTCCACTCCATTCCATTCCATTCTAAAATGCAGTTTATGTTCTGTCCAGAGGAACGTCAGGCTTGAACGTTACTGGCAAATCTTTCCCCTTTGCAGGCTGTTCCCTGTCAGGGTCGTGTGCTCCTCCAGAGTGATATTCTCCACCAGTCTTGTTAGAAATGCTGCTTCTAATGGGCTCCTGAGAAGTGCTGCTCAGGGGCACCGGGTGGCACAGGCTGTGTTCTCATTGCTGGCAAAATATCTTTTTAATAGCCATTTTTATTTTGTGATTCTGCATTTGGTACTGAAGCATGTTCCCAGGTGGTGTTTAAAGACGGGGAGGAGGGCGATGGGGCTGCAGGGCAGCAAGCCCATTCCTGCCTTGAATAACCATGGAGCATCTGCTGATAACAAATCCCTAGAAAACTCCAAACAACACCTTTTGGAGCAGGACAGCTCTTGCAGCGCTCGAAGGGGCTGGGGGGAAATGCACGCACACAACTGCTGCGGCAGTTAACCTCACCTGAACCCGGGGGCTGACGTCAGGCGCCCGCCCGGGCGCTGTGCGGTGAGGGCAGCGAAGGAGCGAGTGGTAAAGCCAAGAGCAGTAGTTATCTATGAAAAAATCTCAGGAAGCAATTGCAGCGCTGTGAGAGATTTATTTATAGACCAGGAGCTGAAATATGGGGTTGCTCGAGTGCCCGTTTCCCACCCAGTGTGACCTGTCACTCCTGATTATTTCCTCCCTGCTGTGTATTTTCAGGGCTGTCATCATCGCTCAGCTTTCCACAGCCAGCACGTTCTTCACTCTCCTCTCCTGGCTGCCAACTTTCTTTAAGGAAACTTTCCCCGAGTCAAAGGTAGGTTGATTCTGCGACACAGACGTTGCTGGTCTCCGTGCAAATGAGGTCGTGCAGGCTGCCTGCCGAAACGGGTGGGTTAGGGAGGAAGGTGATGGCAGGGGACTTGGTGAGCGCGGGCGGGGAGGCAGGCGGTTTCCCTGTGGGGTAGGAGCCGTTACCCGCCTGCACATACCTTTGGAGCCGCGAGCATCCTCCCGCCAGGTAGGCAGAGGCCGGTTTCCGTTCGCTTGTTTAGGGATGCTGAAGTGAGGCAGGGCTGGGGCACCCTCCAGAAGGAGAGCGGGGAGGAGAGGGTTGTGTTTGGTTTTCAGGCGGCTTTTCTTCTGAGGAAGGGATGGTTTTCAAATGGCACAGAGCTCATGACGTTACGCTGTTGCAAATGACCACCATTCACTCCTGGGTTTTCACAGGGTTTTTAAACTGTACTGACATTCTATAGCTCAGACCTGCCTGCGAAAATGATAATTACCATTAATAACGTGTACTTCAAAAATACTATAAAAGCTTGCCTCTCTTCAGCACAAATGATGTTCCCATTTTTCAGAAACCTAGATAAATACTCATCTGGGCCAAGAGCTGGTATTTTGATCTTGTTCTCGGAGACTCAGACAATCTTTTCCACAATGGCTCTGTTGGGTTTTTTATAATTTCCAGAGCTGCTTACAAATGCCTTTTCATATTACGTGTGTAAGGCGCTTTATGGCATCCTTGATATTTATATTAAAATCGTGTATTAAACCAGCAAACATATTGTTGTGACAAGATCTGTGCACCTCGAGTAATATGCTTGTGCAGCCGTAATTTACCATCTGTTAAGCATTATATCATGGTGCCCTTACGTAAGATGCTCTATATAATGTTCCTGCATCTGATAATCGCTTCATGCCTTTTAATAAAACGGGGCTTGAGGATGCCTGATCTTAAAGGATGGACGATAATCCATAGTGTGGGAATCCTATGTCACCTACTGGCCAAAGTCCCTTTCTGCAGGTGAGCTGCCTTCACCGCTGCCCAAGCCTGCAGCCTGCCTGGGTGGAGGTGGTGGGGGGCTCTGCCTCGGGGTGATGGGCCGTAGGGAAGAGGCAAGGGTGACTTTGGTGTGTTGGGATTGACTTGCTGAGTAACCCCAGCTGGTGTGAACAGACACCATATTATATATTATATACCATATTGGGGGAATATTACCCCACAAGCCCTATGGGGTAACGTTTTCCAAAGTGACCAAGACCCAAAGTTTCAGAGGCACTGAAAGGTGCAGATGGGCCCTGCTACGCCTTCCAGGAGCAGCGGAAACAAGGTTCTTCAAAACCAAGATTATTCAGCCCTTCTGCGCATCCTGAAGCCAGGCGAGGCAGGGAGGGACGCCGCCATGGGGCGACGGGTTCTGAGCGAAGGGGGAGATGCGGGGGACGGTGGATAGATGGGTAGGTTCAACCAGCTGAGGTGAAGCCCGGCCCAACCTGCACCGATTTCAGCTCCTCGTGGGATCTGGGCACCAAAACGCCTCTGAGCAGCTGTAATCCAGATGACCGGTAATCATCTGTGATTACAACTGTAGCAAGCTCGCTTAATTGAAAATAGACCAAAGTATGTCGCTACCCATAATGTTTCCTAATCCTGGCATTAGAAAATCCAGCTATGTTCCCTCAGCTTCACAGTAACGCTGCTAATGAGGTTGAAGCTGATGTCGGAAATTTTGCCGACAGCTTTACCGATGACCCACAGGGCAGAGTAAAAATCTACAGCTTGCTTTCCAGGGCGCCGTGGCTCTCTGCCACGTCACCTTGCTGAACAGTGGTGGTAAACAGCTTTGCCAAGTTTAATCGCTCTTTCCCAGAGCAGACGGAGCTTTCTGCCTTTCCCTTGGAGGCAGGGTCACCAGGACAGAAGGAAAGACAACAAACCTACAAATGCTACAGCCCCATGATGCACATGCCACCTTACAGACTTTGGAGAGGTGCAGGGTGAGATCCTGCAAGAAGTCCTGATCACTTCATTTTTTTTCCTTACTACAGATATCACAGACTATCAAATAAAATACTTGAAAACAAACTCAGCTCTGACAGAAAACCTCTCTTGATTTTTGCTCCCTTTCAGGGTTGGGTGTTTAATGTAGTCCCCTGGCTGGTTGCAATTCCGACAAGCTTGTTCAGCGGATTTCTGTCTGATTATTTAATCAACCAGGGTAAGAGCTCTTTTGGCTTTTCCTCAGCTCTTATTTTATGTGATGTGGAAAGAGGACCTGGGTGGGAGGAGATGGGCTTGTTGGTAGGGAGAAGACCCGGCAAACTGACAATGTGAGGTTCTGATATGAAAGTACTCCAGGGTCCAAATCCCATCCATGTGTGTGGGGCTCCCTTTGATCTCAGTCGCAATGTCCGCCTGGAGATGAAATCCGGCCGTCTGAAATCCACTTACCCTGTGCTCTCGGGGCTGGAAAACAAGGAGACCTGGTGAGCTGTGCTTAACCGCAACTCTCCTTTTCTCTTCCAGGCTACAAAACCATCACCATTCGTAAGTTCATGCAGGTAAGAGAGCCGAAGCCACAGGAGAGACGCCTGAGCTACCTGCCGACCTCTGCTTACAGGCAGGTCGGACCTCTTACGGAGCCGGGTTGGTGGTTACAGGTGGAAAGAGGAGAGCGTTTCTAGCTTTGCAGGTAGTGGTGGTCAGCGCCTATGGGAGCGAGGAACAGAGCGTGGACCAACGGTAACGTTGAGCAGAGAGATTTGTGAGAGCTCCAAAGAGGTTGTCCTTCGCAGGCGAAGGCCGGCCATGCGCTGTCATGCCAAACGACCCCTTAGATGATAGGAAATAGCAATACAAGGATGAGCAGAAATAGAAATGCCGGATGAGAGCACAGCATGTCCTCTCTGCTCCGCAGCATCGCATCCCTCCAGACCTCTGACAGAAAGACGGGACAGTGGGGGAAAAAAAGGCTTGAGAAGCACCTGGGGCTTATGAGCTCTTGCCATTGTAACAGGGAGCAGCTTGTCCGTGAAAGGAGTTGCTTTCTTCCTTACAGAAAATGTGCCGTGGTATTTAATGTTCCCTGTCTTCCAGGTCATCGGCTCTGGTGTCTCGAGCATTTTTGCTTTGTGCCTGGGCCAGACCTCCAGTTTTCGCAAAGCGATAGTGTTCGCCTCCGCCTCTGTCGGCCTTCAGACCTTCAACCACAGGTAACGGGAGCGGTCACGACCGTAGCTGTGGCCCTTGGCTAGGGCCCCCGCGGGGCCTTGGGGGGGGTGCCCACGCGTGGCATTGGGGGGTCTCGGGGGACGCCGCCTCCCTCACGACTGTCGGAGCAAGAACTGGTGCTTGTCTGCGCATCGCGCGTTGGTCCCCGCGAGGCCGGTGGAGTTTAGCGCCTGCGGGGCTGGGCTGGATCCAGCGGACCTGTGGCGTGGGGAAGGGCTTGGCCTACTGGAGGGCACGTTGGGCCGGGCAGGTCCTAGGGAGGCGAAGCAGAGGGGAGCTGCATTTTGGCCCCTCTGAAGGCTTTGGGTTGAATCCTCTTCCTGCTGGTACTCCCCTGTGCTGCTGCACTCTCAGCCTCTTCCCCTTGACAGTGCCATTTATTCTCTAGGACCCCTTCCTTTTGCTTGACAAGCTAAACTCCATGTAAATGATGAAAAAGCAGTCGCGCTCCATTAAAACGGCCGTTTTCCCCCCTCTGTTTCTCACTAGTGGCATTTCAGTAAACGTACAGGATCTGGCCCCCTCGTGTGCTGGCTTACTGTTCGGTAAGGGTGCC